CTCAAACCCGCGGGCTCAGGCAATCCACTCACCTCAGCCTCCCAAAGGCGCAGGATTACAGGCTGAGCCACCGAGCCCGGCTCACCCAAACTTTTTATCTATTTATTTTATTTTTTTAAATTTTATTTTATAGAGACAAGGTCTCTCTATGTTGCTCAGACTGGTCTTGAACTCCTAGTCTCAAGTAACAACCCCCCCTAGCCTCCCAAAGTGCTGGGATTATAGACATGAGCCACCACACCCATCCAAAGCACCTGAACTTTAAGCAAATTTAACCACTTTATGGCACAACTGTAACCACTTTACAGCCCCATCGCTGAAAATCCTCTGCAGGACTGGGATTAGGGTCCTATTATCCTGTCTTTATTTAAAATTTTGGTGTTTTGTTCATTATGGGATCTCTGGCATCAATTTTGATTTTTACAAATACTGCATTAAAATATTACTTATCTTGATTATTATTATTATTATTTTTTGAGTCAGGGTTTCACTCTGTCACCCTGGCCAGAGTGCAGTGGCATAATCAAGGCTTACGGCAGTCTTGACCTCCTGGACTCAGGCTATCCTTCCACCTCAGCCCCCTGAGTAGCTGGGACTACAGACGTGTGTCACCATACCCAGCTAATTTTTAAATTTTTTGTAGAGATGAGGTCTTACTATGTTGCCTAGGCTAGTCTCGAACTTCTGGGCTCAAGAGATCCTCCTGCCTCAAACTCCCAAAGTGCTAGGATTACGGGTGTGCGCCACCAAGCCTGGCTAATTTTTTGATTTTTTGGTAGAGGCGAGGTCTTGCTATGTTACCCAGGCTGGTCTCAAACTCCTGGGCTCAAGTGACCATCCTGCCTCAGACTCCCAAAGTGCTGGGATTACAGGCATGAGCCTCCTCGCCTGGCTTGATTATTGCTTTTTATTTTCACCTGAAAAATTTTGAGTGCCTCAGCCCAGTCCTGGTCCTGTCCCTTCCCAGAGGACCAATGGTCGTGTCCTCCTCTGTGCCCCACCGGCCTTGGTACCTGTTTCTGCAGCCCCTTGGTCCCATTGTCTCCCAAACACCCAGTCTGCTTACTCTTCCAGTGCCCGGACAAGGCAGCCTGCTCTGCTACACATTTCCAATAAACCCTAAATATCAAAATGATTTGAAAAATCATAAGTTATAAAGGATAAGTCATAAGAAAATTTTATAATGGTTCCTGATAGGGGAGGAAGGACCTCGGGGAGAGCAGGGAGAGGGAGACAGTAACATTCTTTGACTATCCCTGCTTTTGTAGACTCAAGTTTGGAATCATAGCAAACATCATTTAATTACTGAAAGTTAAAGAAGTGTGATAGTTAATCTGGGTTGTCAGCTTGCCTGAATTAAGGAATTATAGGGTGCTGGAAAAGCTTTATTTGGGGGTGTATCTGTGAGGGTGCTTCCAGAAGGGACCAGCATGTGGGTTTCAGAGGACTGAGTGAGGAAGGTCCACCCTCCACAGGCAAGGGTCGTTCAGTCAGCTGAGGGCCCAGAGAGAACAAAGTAGGGCAAAGGCAACCGGTCTCTCTCTCCCCTGGAGGTCGGCCCACGCTTCTCCTCCTGCCCTGAGGGCCTCTGCGTGCAGATGGCCTGTCATGGGACTTTGCAGCCTCCATAATCATATGAGCCAGTTCCCTAATAAATCCCCTCTCATCTGTCTACATCTGTATCCATTGGGTCTGCCTCTTTGGAGAACCCTGACCAGTAAAAAAAGCAATCCCTAGAAATGGAAAGCAAAACAAAATAGCTGTAAATGTATCACATAAAGATATATTTTCTTCAGGAATTTTAATAAGGTAGTTAGACACAACTTTGAATCTATTTTACATCAAGTTGAAAATAATGAATTGGTTAGTCAAAACTGACCAAAGTAATCTTAAATATCACTGGGAAAATTAACTTGATTCAACTTGTGGCAAATCTAGACCATTGAAAATCAACTGAGCCGGGCTTGGTGGCTCAGCCTGTAATCCCACGCTTTGGGAGGCTGAGGTGAGTGGATTGCCTGAGCCCACGGGTTCGAGATCCGCCT